TTTGCTGAACCTACTCACTTAGTCGATTTACAGATGTCTACTCCTACTCGCTTAGTCGATTCAGTAAAGATTTACAGATGTCTACTGTCATTTGGAACTTGACATAAGATTTCAATATAAATGATTACTAACCAGAGCAGAATACCCTTTACCGAAGCATCTACAATGATCACGTTTAGCGTGCGTTGCACTCCTGTCTCCCGCAGGCCTATATTGCTTGTTTTATCGTCATAACCCAACATTTTGCTACGATGACGTCAGCATAATGACGACACATATGTCTATAAAGCTCCGTTTATATGAATTATGGTATTGGGACTGATTTGTGGGTCGTTTTTCTATTTCTCGCAGCGAAACAATTTTTATGGCTCTGCTAAAAAGCGGTTTGATGGTGAACGTTTATATTGCTATCAAACTTTCAACATCTTCCAGAACAGTATTCTCATACAAATAACACAAATACTTTTAGAGTTCAAATTATGTATAATTTATAACATGACTTTTCACATAGGTAAACATATCTTAATATCTTAATAACACTGAAAAAATATTCGATGAACTACTTGAAGTCGGGCGACCAGTTAATCCTCATTAGACTTCGATTGAAATTTTTCCAATTATTTTTCACTTTTATCAAGGCTTTCAAGATGCTATTTATTCCTTTTTAATATCATAAACCTTAAGATCTTCAAAACTAAACTAAATTGATTTTGATAAACCTTATACTGTTCCCTAACTTGAAAGCTAATGAATACAGCCATACTATGATTTTAGATTAATATTACTGGCTTCTTAAGGCTTTTATAGTTATTTTCATTTGGTTGTTGTCACTTTTTGCTGTTGTTCTTGATTTGCTGTTTCTCTTGCTAATTTCTCTTTCATTTTATAAACTACAGTCCACGCTCCTCTGTCGATAACAATTCGATGTCTTACTTGCGGGAAATGCGTCAACAAAGATACATACATATATTTACATTCAGCACATGTATTTAGAAGCCTATATAGACGGACATATGTGACCATTGCGAAAGTGCAGGCTTTCAGGTCCTATACTGAAGTCAGCTAAAATATCACACCATCTCACTCTACGAGAGTGTAAACAAAACTAAATCCTTATCAAGTTTGTGTCATATAGGGTCCCATCCCAGCGTCCCTGTGTGACTATGTCACGGCAATATGCTATTTTTTCACATTGCTATCCATCGCGCGTCCTCTTCACACAAGATAGATAGGGAATCCCTTTTGACGCAAGCTGTCATTTCTGGCAGCCATATTGGAATCGGTTTGATCAATCAAATGATGGATGAAGGGTACCACGTGTTGTAGAAAATTTACTCGACTTTTCCATTTGGTATATTGTACGAGTTGACCGATTTAATAAATTAATTAAATAATCTTTCAAAGCAATGGTTGTTAAGTACATATATTGTCACAAATTCGTCGAGAATGAATGAAAGGTATAGATTAGACAGGAAATAAAGGCTAATCGGTCGAGACGAAATGTATAAGCAACGATATTAATTGAAACCACGTCTTTTCAATCGACTTCGAAAAATAAGGTATTAATTTAACCTGTATGTAATTTCGGTATAATGGCACAATACTCATATACCTTTGTATGTATCTATGTAGATGCTCATAATAATAAAGAACAAACACGTCTGTAAGATGATAATAAAAAAAACCCGCTCAAAAACTATAAAAGTTTCATTATTATTCACTTTTAGTAAACTTTTTTAAGTCAGTTTTATTTTTAAATGGTTGAGAACTACTGGTTTAGATAGTGGTGCAGAAAATCAAAAATCAATCGCTGTCCCTGAAAATTGCTACTGAAAAAAGCTGAACCAATAAGGATAATTTCTTTTTTATGCCCGTTAAAATACGAGAAAGGTTCTTAAGGAGAGGAACAAATTTTATCCCTACAATCCTTTATTCTTTATATTATAATATTTTTTTATAAACATTCTTTATAAACATCAAAAAGATTGACAGTTCCTAAATTTAAAATCGGATTCGAATAAAAATGAAACAATGTGAACCACGTAAGCCGTAAATGGCTCTGCGAGTCATTAGTGGGTCGCTTCCGTTTCCTACCCCCTCCAATGGGTACGCATCTCCTCTTCGCCCTACCCCACGTTCCGCGGTACTGTGGTGTTCCGATTGATCTGGTTGTTTTTCTAATGTAAAACGAAGGTTAAAATATTTAAAAGAACGAATATAAAATACCTAAACAATCGGTTGTTTAAATGTGAAGGAAACTTATTAATAAACATTAAGTAGAAGAAAATTTAAAAAGAAAACATTAATTATTCATTGCGTTTTTACGACAAATAGCTTACTTAAAGTACTTATTAATTCAAACATCATTAAATAAAACGGACATTAAAATGGACTCATATTTAGCAAAATATGAAAAATTATTAGCTTTAGAAACGTGCATTAAAACCGATCATCACTTCGGTAAAAATAAAATATAAAAAAAAAACAAAAAAACTTTTCATTGTGTGAATTCATATTTTCTGAGACAGGATATAACCTCCTTTTTTAAATATTTAGACTAACAACTTTTTTCACTAAACTTAAACAAAGCATAGCTTAATTAGTAAAAGCCTAATCTTATGAATTACCTAAGCAGATTAGTATAAAAATGCCTAACGCATGTCATAACTTTATATTTCTTTGTCATTAGATAGTACCTATTCATTACATTTTAATTTTAGGCGCTTCCTAAATATTTAGGTGATAGGTTTGAGCGACTCCTAGGTTTAGTGAAAACGGGAATAAGTGTGACATCATGAACAAAGGTAGGACAAAGCTATGTTTATAAGCAAATATAACTTTACTGAGTTTGTAAAGAGAGAGTAGAGCGTGATTATATAGTCTCTCTCTTTACACAATATACAATCACAACAAAGGTTAGCTATAAACAAAATGTGGAATCATTCTGCTTTGCTCTTTCAGATAGGGATCACAATCTTCTGTCTCTTTAGACATATCTTCATGTCACGTACTATTTAATTCCACATCGATTTCATATATAGGGTTAGTGTTTAACCAGAAATCGATACCAGTGACGCCATCTTGCGGCACTCAACACTGACCACTTTTTTATGTGTAGTTGCTATTGGTCGCATATAACCTTTACACCACGCCAGGCTTTTGTTGGCGGCGAGACCTTTATGAGACCTCAAGCCGAGACGAGGGACATCCGACGGGTCACTAGACAGACGGCATCTTATTTCTAAAAGTTTCCTGCCTCGCACAGTCAAACTCTGGAACCGAGTACCGAGTAACCTGGACCGATACGACCTTCAAACTTTCAAGCGTAGAGCATATTCGTCCTTCAAAGGTCGGCAGCGCGCTTGTAGCTCCTCTGGTGTTGCAGGTGTCCATGGGCGGCGGTAATCACTCACCATCAGGTGATCCGTCTGCCCGTCTGCCCCCTATCCCATAAAAAAAAAATCACCTCGAGGGGTGTCCCCAGACCGTTGTAGACCTATAGTAGTGTATGTGTAAAGTGTAGATGAACTATGTCGGTCCTCTGGGGGTGGATTCGGGGTGGGTTTGTCCGCGTGATCAGATTCGTCGAGGTTTTCAACCTTCAACCAACTAGAACGGTCGGTTATAGGTCAGCCACTCTGAGACTCTGATAATTTGCCACTAGACACCATTCCCGACATCATTCACTCCCTTTCCGAGAAGGTGAACGCGATCAGCGCTCTTAGCAATCACATCTCTACCGCATTAAGCAAGGCGCCGCGGCAGAGTCCGCCATGCGTGACAACCGGTTCTAACGACAACCACGAGCGGTGTAAAATGTGCGCTGCCCTCTCCCCTTGCGGGGGCGTTATCGCTCCGGTCGAAGTTTCGTTGCCCCTTCGAGGCACGCAACCAAATGTCCCAGGAGGTGTTTAGTCAGTAGGAGTCCGACATAACCTCACAGCCGGCTGAGTGGTATCCAATGAAGGATTCACTGCCTCCTTGATAGCCCGAAAAAAGATGACTTATGGCAGTCTTGGTTGCGCACGCGTGGTGATAACTAGTAAAAAATATTCTATACTTATATTATAAAGAAGAAAGATTTGATTGTTTGTTAGTATGTTTGTTTGTTTACACGGAATACGCTTCGAAACTACTGAACCGAATTAAAAAATTCTTTCACCTACGGATAGGAACATCATACGGGATTACATAGGCTATATATTTACGCGTGCGAAGTCGCGGGTAAACAGCTGGTATGTTATATGTGTAAAGTTTATAATGGTTAATAATTATAAGTGTATTTAAATAAAGATAACATTAGGCAAAAGGATTTATATTAACATTTTTCAATATGTAAATAAGTATGGGAAGGTATATCAAAAAATAATTACGCTTTTGTCCATTAGGAATCGGGCAGAGATTTAGGTAACACACGGCAACACAACAAATCTCATTTGAAAAATATTTCTATTACGTTTCAGTATATTTAAAATTATGTATTCACCTAGTTCAATCTGTGGTGCAAAGGTTCTGCAAGTTTACATGTGAACAAAAATTTGCTATCTCAAGCGTGCTTCAAAAGGACTTTAGACCGTAAGTTCCGTCTAAATCTGCAGTTGTTAACACCCATTAATCCAAATTAGACTCGCATGATGAGTTACTGCCCGTTCTCTCTAATTGACTGTTTAGAGAAGATCTGTGGCCCAACAGTGGGGACACTGCTGGGCTGATGATATTCATTCATATGTAACTGAGCTATTATTTTTTCACACACTGTAACGTTAGCCCAGATGCAATCACAATTTCATTGGCCACCGTTCCGCTTTATTTTAAAATAATAAAAAGAAATTGTGTATGAAACATTTCAATACATTTAATGATGATTCAAATATTTTTAATAACTAAATCAATTTGTCTACGGTTTTCAACGCGTATCGCTTTGTGTTTAAATAAGGCTTGCCTCTGTACCAGAAGGTATCTTCACTTCTGCATTTGTGGGTTGGAGAACAACCCTCAGCATGTGGAAGATCACTTGTATTTCTGTGATACTGTTCCTGGCTACCAACGTAAAAGGGGAAGGTATTATTCACACTTTCAAATTCATTATTAGTCATACTTGCATATTTTATGAATGTGAAATTTATCTGTGTATTATAATTTCCTCGCCACACGCAATGAAATTTAATGTAGAGCTACCTTGCGGGGTGAGAAGAACAAATATCAAACGAAGGAACATCATCTTATCAATTGGATAACGCCCACTGTTAGACAAAGGCATCTCCCTAAAATTCCCCATTACGACTGGTCCTCATACAACGTCTTCCGGAAATCCCAACAAGATTGAGGGCTATCTTGTAGGAGTCGTAGTTGCCGCTCGAGGAATTTACTATTATAATGAGTATCAGCCTGACGAACTATGTACCCTTTCCATTGCCAGTTCGGGCTCGCAATTATACAGATTATGTCGGTCAATTAAGTTCGTCTGCGAATCTTTTATTTTCTGATTAGATCTCTCATTGAAATCAAATAATTACTTGTAACTCCAAACATGAGATGCAATCCGAAAGAAAGTGGAGGGTCGTGTTTATCTACAAGACTCATAACATTTTTTCTCATTTATTTGCTTTTTAGATGAAGACGAAAATGAAACCGAAACACGTATAGGCATGCCCAATCCATTTTGTAAGTACCTAATTATTTTTCGACTTGACACTATTTTAATTGGATTTCAATCCTTTCATTATTTGTATAATACGTGTTTATTAAATACTGTTTTCTCGCGACTTCGGCCGCGTAAATTATGGCCTATGTCATGCGCGTATGACGTAGCTTCACCAAAATTAAATAATTTTATAATCGATTCAATAGTTTCAAAGTCTATTCGGTGCAGACAAACAAATAATCAAATCTTATGTATAGTTTCAGAATTTATTTCACTACAAACAATAATTTTACGATTATACTTAAATTGAATATCCACTTATTTATTATAGAAACATAGTTATAGTCTATTAAAAAGAATCTGGATTTGACTCCAAGAATCTTAATTAAAATCTCAAAACTACGAATCAAATTCAAGAACTTTGATTCAAATCCAAGAACTGAAACCCAAGCTGAGTATTCATTTTGACATAATTTATTAGTCATGAAATTTTCTACAAATAACCTGGAGTTTCAATGATTGTGAAACACTAATAGGGTCCCAGCATAATATCTTTATTAACTTACACCGGTGCAATCTTAGACTGAAGGTTAAATATAAATGACATTGCGTATTTTTCATTTTATTTTTAGATAACTCTGAATGCACTCAAGCAGGGATATTGTATTACAAGAGGAGTCTGTTTGGGTGTTCCATATGTGCCTGTTTCACAGGTGTCGGCGGTGCTTTGTACAGCAGATGTGCATTATGCAACGATTGCCAAAGTAAGTTGTATCCATTATTAGTTCTAATCAATCTGATACACAAGGTCGACTTCAACTTTAAACAATTTAAAATTTAATTAGATTATACTTACTGCCAGTTTATAATTACTTATTCAGCTAAAGATCCATATTCAGTTTGCTCGTAAACAAGGAGTCTTTAAGTTTATTTAATGTTTTGATAAAAGTGTATTAGCACAGTTATTGTTTTTCGTAATAATTTTGAATCTTTCAAATATATTATTTTTCCATTGAACAGATAATCCATCTCCTGTGCCTATTCCAGGTAAGAAACTATGTTTTTATAATGGATATGCTAACTCATTACATGCTTATAATCTTTGAGTATCCAATTATTATCGATTTCCACATTAACTTTGTATCCTAAGTAATTTTATTTTCATCTACATTTAACAGATTATCCGATGCCTCCGCACTTCCCAGGTACAAAATAATGTTTACTTTGTTATTACATACGCACGTAGAAATCAAAATTTCATAATAAATTAAGGCGGCGTCCAAAGTTATCATTTGCTGTTTTAATCAACAATAATGAAGCGTAAATCCAAAGTAATTTTGCATAATTATTTCATTCATATAATCTTTGTGTATCTGATTTATTATCTACTTGTATCATTAGTGATTATATCTTTGTCTACATTAAACAGATTATCCGGGGCCTCCAACATTCCCAGGTACGAAACAATATTTTCTTTGTTATTTATTACACATACACGTAGAAATCAAAATATTATAATGAAATTCAAAATAACCATCTACGTTTAAAGGTCTTCCCGCTATCGCGTCTCGAACAATAATGCCCCTTAAAACTAGCAACGTCGAGCAGGACGAGTCAAATCAGCTTTTTGGCAACACAACATCCGTTTCCGGACAAGTGACATTATTTCATTTTGATGAATAAAGTAACTTATTTAGTTACAAACTCTGTGAATAGTTTCATACGATAAATTATTTTATTAAATTAAAAATCATATTTAATAATTACATTTTTACAAAATTACACGTCCATTCTAATTATATTACTCGATGTTTCAATAAAAAGGGAAATACAAGTATCTCTTCAAAATGTATGTTTCAAAAATTAAGTTAAATTTCAATCGTTAACAAATTATCACAATAACTGTCGAACATCTGATTAAAGATTTGTTTGTCAATGTTTGATACTATTTAGGACACACAAACGACATGCAGTCATTACAAAAATTAAATTTAAATTCACAATCATTTCCCATCATTATTACATCGCTTACTATATTTTCTGAATCGAATATTATCGACTTTCACAATAATGCTGTATCCTTAATAATTATAATTTTGTTTACATTACCAGACTATCCGGTGCCACCGCCTTACCCAGGTACAAAACAATATTTCACATGCCCGTTGATATTAAAGATTCATGACCAAATCTATAATTTTACCTACAATCTTCAAAATTACTATTGATAAACTGTGATTATTAGGAAAAATTATATACGCAAACCATCGCACAATTAATAATTATATTTTTATTTACATTCAACAGATTATCCAGTGCCTCAACCTATACCAGGTAAGATACAATATAGTTTTTTATAAAAATATGTAATACGATCATTGATTGATTGAAAAAAGTTTATATTCAAAAGACTTGAAACTTATGTAAATTGTTCTTAAATGAAGAGGTTAAAACCTAGTTGCATAAACGCCCATTAAATATGTCATTAGTTTAAAATGACATAACGATACAGGTTTTTTTTATTTTTATTGAGAACATTTATTAGAGCTTCAAGTCATTATCCTTGATAATGGACTAATGTCAAATCAATCAAACATTAATAATGTAACCTGATGTTTTTGAGTAAAGTAACATTTTTAGAGGACAATTTTAAGTCGCTTGAAGAAATGGAATTGATTCTAAGTAATATTTTATGCTTAATTATTAAATTATGAAATGAATTTTTATACTTGATAATTATATTAATTATATCTTTTAACAGATTATCCGATACCCCGGCCCATACCAGGTAAGAAAATGTATATTTTTCATAAAAAAAAAACTATGTGGTATTTATACAAACTCCGTGAAAATTAAATCCGAAAAGCATAATTTTGTTCTTGAATTAGAAGGTCATGTACGCGTTTTGGGAACAGTTCCAAGTTACTTAAATCGATTAAATTGATTGCTAGTATTTATGCTTTTTGTACAATGAAAAATGTGCAAACGGCAGACTTAATGCCATAATGTTAACCGGATAGTTGTGATCAGAGAACTTATAAAAGCGGTATAACAAACAGAAAAAGCTAAAAGATATCTACACTGATACATTTGCATACAATACTTTATACATAAAAAGCATATATACAAACACATACGATACATATATAAACATTTAAATTCACAATGATTTTAAATGTAAACAAAAACATTATTGTAACTAAGGCCTTTATTCATCAAACAGCGATAAAAAAGATCTATAATAGTAACCATTGTGACTGGTTGTACTATAACGGTCGACAAAGAGATTTAATGTTATCATATAAAAGAGCGTTTATGTTCTGTTTTTAGAACAAATAAGTGATAATTTAAGACCTATTTGGGGCTTACAGTGTTATTACAAACTGATTAGCACGTGTTTAAACGTGTATAAACGTTTTTGAAACTTATATAGTACTGAATTTTGCTACTTGGGATACATTAACATATTTAAAAAAAAAGGATATAAGAAAATGATAGATTAGCATTGTCATTGGACAGTAGAGTTCGGTAGGTGATGACGTAGCAAGCGTTCCAAAGCTAGATTGTTTAGAGCAGATTGAATATGAAGTGGGAGTACATTCTGGAGTCGCAAAGCTTGAAGGGAGGATATGTTTCAAATAAAACCTGTGCGGTGCGAATTAATGGTGAGAGTTTTCTATCGAATGAAGAAGTTTGAACGAAGATTTGGGTTATGTGAAGCATCCAATTAATGAAATTTGCATTTTAAAATAATTTTAAATTATCTTCATTCGCTTTGCATCCTTGATAACGATATTAATTTTATCATTGTTTAATAGATTATCCAATACCCCGGCCCATACCAGGTAAGAAAAAATACATATTCAATAAAAAACTATCTGATATTGATAAGAATTCGGTGAAAATTACCATTTGTAACGAATTTAAGTGTTTCTGAATTCAGAGTAAATAGTTACAATTATCAAAATCAATGTTATTAATTGTTATTTCTTTTTTTTTTAATGTTGATTTAACTACTTTATACACTTGATCATTTAATTATATATTTTTTTATTCAATAGATTTTCCGATACCCCAGCCCATACCAGGTGAGAAGTTATACATTTTTAATTTATAACTAGTTTAACCTTGGTGATAATTACTATTCAAAATGTTGTAATAAAAATCAAAATGTTCCTGAACTGAGCTAGGATATTGCAATAAACCAAAAACAATTAAATCAATTGTTAGTTTATTTGTTTGATTCATGACAATATAGTTTATTATATATTATTATAGTTAATATAGTTTATTATATATTAATAAAAAACAAAGTGTCCATAAATTAAATCTTTAAATCGTTTTGCTTTTAATGTGCAATACAGAATATTATTATTATTATTAGTAAATAATTCAAATGACAAAACTATATTGAACCAATTTTTAATTTATTTGTTTAATTGTATATTTAATGACATTGTAATCTTTATTTATTGATATTAATGCTATCTTTGTTCCATAGATTTTCCGATACCCCAGCCCATACCAGGTGAGAAGTTATACATTTTCTACAAAAATCTATCTTACGTTAACATAAACTCGGTGAAAATCCCTCTCTAAAATACTTGTAAATAAAATTAATTAATAAATAAAATGTTCCTGAATTAAGCGTAAATAGAGCAAATAACTAAAATCAATGAAATCAATTGTTTTTATATTGATTGTCGATTTAATGATAGTTTACTTATATTAATTTTATCTTTGTCCAATAGATTTTCCGATACCGCAGCCCATGCCAGGTGAGAAGTTATACATTTTTCACAAAAATCTATCTTGAAATTGATAAAACCTCGGTGAAAACAACTATTAAAAATATTTGTAAATAAAATTAATAAAAAAAATGAGTTCCAAAATTATGAGTATCTAAATAGTTCATCACATCATCATTATCAACGGCCTGTGACCCTACTGTTGGGGCTCAAACCTTCCCAATGTATGAAATCGAATCAAATCGAATAGGGAGAATGAGCCATGACCCACCACGCAGACCCATTGCGGATTGGTGTGTGTTAACGTCTGCAGATGCAGCCGAGACCAACAGCTGAACGTGCCTTCCGAAGGACGGAGAAGATAATAATTTTTAGTCACCCATCCTTTGATCAGCCAATGCGAAAGTTGCTTAACAATCGTATAACAGGTGTCATCTAGCTCCTCCGATCAAACAATTAAAATCGATTTAATTGATTTTAAGTGGTCTTTATGTCTTTAATTTTAGATTTAATAACTTTACTTGATAATTATATTAATTTTGTTTTAATTCAATAGATTACCCGGTACCTCGGCCCAATCCAGGTAAGAAGCAAAGTATTTTTTATTATTATTAAAATTGTAATCACGATCTTAATTTAAGCATTCTTTAACGAAACAGAATATGATTTCCACCAATGAGTAGAAGTTATTTTCTTATTGATTGATACTTTTGAAGCATGCATTTAGAGCATGTACAATTAGGTAATTTAAGTAGTAGGTAATGAAATAGCATGGGTAATGTATTTTCTTAAAAAGAAGGTATCAAAAAGAGGAAATTAAGTCGTGACCAAGTTGGACTCCTTAAATATTTACTTAATTTAAAACATGATAATAAGATTTTGCTCAAGAGCTGCTGTAACGTAGCCGAAACGTCGAGGTAAATTAATTGTTTTAAAAAATGCACGAACAAGACCCGATTGCATATAATTATAATGTTTTGAAGGTAGTTGCAAAGTTATCAACTGCTGCCGTAATTTATAAAGAAAATCAAACCGATTTCTAGAAAACTTTATTTGCCTTATTTTGTATCCTTATTTATATCGATTTTTTTTTTCTATCTTATAATAGATTATCCGGAACCCATCCCAGGTAAGTAACAACGTATGTTATTACAGACAAAAATCATATTTTTTTTGAAGCACTTAAACTTGATTTTAAAGAAAATATTTAAAAAATATTGACGTTATATTTAATTTAATAAACTTTAATATACACAAACTTTCATAACAAGTTTGATCCATGAATTATTGAGATAAAAAAAAGGTCTATTTTATCCGTCAGTTAGATAATATACTTGATACATTTTTTTTGCTTCAAGTTTACAAGTAATTATTTAAAATAGTAGTCACTAAAATTGAGAAGACTCACTACGTCACAACTATGTAGAAAATCTATATAGGAGTGATGTCATGAGACAGATCACTTCAATGTATCGCCATAATTTATTGATTGCGCAATATTTAAAATATAATTTTTAATAATTAACATTAAGCAGACAAAAAGGAATCATGATTCCTATTCATGACGTCAGTTTAATAAACCGCGAGAGTGAGAGGGCTAAATTTCGACCCCACCACAAATTAGACGCTCATAATGATAAATTACTTAAATCTAAATATATTAGCTTAAACGTGACTGACTGAGATAGTGATCTATTAACGCACAGCCCAAACCACTGGACGGATCGGTCTGAAATTTGACATGCAGGTAGAAGTTATGACGTAGGCATCCGCTAAGAAATGACTTTGATCAATTCTACCCCCAAGGGGATAAAATAGGGGATGAAAGTTTGTATGAAACTTTGTCAATTTTAAACCGATCGGACTGAGACTTTGCATACATAAAGCTACTATGACGTAGGCATCCCCTAAGAAAGGATTTTTTTAAAGTCCACCTTTAAGGGAATAAATAGGGGATGAAACTTTATTTTAGGTATTTTACACGATATAATGAATAAATATTCGTTAGAAATGCTGCTTAAAGTAACTTTACCACGCGGACAAAATCGCAGGAAAAAACTAGTTAGATATAAAATTACTGGATCATTTCATGCACAGTACCGGAACCATCGAACCCGATTCCTGGCCCAGCACCATGGTGGCGAGGACTGTGTAAGTACCATTTAAAATTAAATCTTATTATGGTTAATACAATTTAGTTATCATCACGAAAAAGCAAATAAAAACTATAAAAATATGCGTACTACAAAATGAGTCAATGGTAGATTATGTTCGACTATAATCTTTTTACATTGCATAGGTACGGTAACATTTAGGATTTGAAGCTTGTAATGATGTAATAATAATCCATACGTATAAACTTAGATAAAAAGATGTTATAGAGTTCATTTCTAATACAGATAATCGATTTTGAATATAAACCAGGATTTAATAAAAATATTTATTTATTACTCAACAAGAAGAGAGTCTTTTAAGAGTCAGCAAAATTACTTGATCCTTCACCTGAATTAACATAATTACTTGAGAGTCCATTATACTGTCTATGAAGTAACTCGAGATAATTTTTTTGTTTGGTCACCCATCCCCTGTCCGACCCTTGTCAAAGATACTTAACAACCACGATCGCGTGCCGCAGCGCTTATCTACTACGCCACCGAGCTACTCAAACGGAATATAGAACCTAAATATTCACCTACAAAGTATGGTATGTCATGCTACGATGTCAATCAGTTATACAATTCTGCCACGTGTAATAAAAATGATACCTAAAAATAAGTTATAGACAACCAGAGAATAAATAAAAAAAGATAACTGATTTCGATAGTCGAAAAGGATTAATTGCGTAAAAAGGTCATGGAACAGTCCTTAGGAACACCCACTGAAAGAAGTATCTGTGTCAACACTACACTTTTAATTTTTATTTTTATATTGTACACCATAATTAAATAACAAGACAATTGACGCAGTTTAGTAGTACAATCAGTGTCCTTATCGCTAAAAAGCAATTTCTCCCAGGCAACCGTAGGTTAGACTTTACTATTACTTAAAAAGATAGACAGTAGATGGTGTCTGACATGGCGAGAAAACTTGTTTTCGGCACTATACAAGGTAAATAAACATCGGTGGAAAAATAACATATAGGAAGCGATTCATAATTTCGCAGGTCCACCTCAAATTGTGATCCCAGGACCGGTGCGTCCGTATCCAGTTCCTGTACCAGTACCGGGACCAAAGGTCTTTGTACCAGTGCCCGTGCCAGTGCCGTCGGCACCCCAAAAGGTCTACGTGCCAGGCCCAGCTATACCTGTTCCGGTGAAAGAGGAAGTGCCTGTGCCGATTCCAATCGAGAAACCGTACCCAGTGCCGTCTCCACCGAGAATCATCCCTGTACCAGAACTGGTGCCAGTTCCGGGACCTGTGAGACCCTTGCCGGTACCCGGCCCGGCCTACCCGGTACCTTACCCAGTAGAGAGAATCATTCAAGTCCCTGGCAAGAACGTGCTGATCCCAGTACCCGTACCAGGCAAGCATAAATACATAATATACTTTATTAAGTGCTTTAGAGTAATCACGAATGCGGGAAAATTGCGATAATAGCATTAAATAAGCAATTTATTTGTTCCATTTGTTTTCGGAATTTCAATATTATTCCAAAGCATATATATATTATACATTTGATAAATAAAATAGATAAGAATGCTTGAATTTGGAGACATTCCATTATTTTGACTTTGATTTATTTTCAGATGACCACTACTACCCAGTTCCAGTTATAATCTACATTTGTAAGTACCGTCTTATTTATTTGTAAAAAGTGATGAGTAGTAAATTATTTTATTCTATTTTATCAATTTTGGATTGATAATATATTGATATTTATTTTAAACAAAAAACATATTCATCATAAATTCTGTTTTTGTTAATTCGGTAGATACATTTTTAAATGCCTTATTATTAATGTGAGTAAAATGTTCAACAAATACCCCTAACATGAGGAAAAATAACTTCTTAATTGTCCGATTACTTCTATCTTATATAGCTCCAGTCTGCAGAGGACACGCACCTCTAATTCCATTCCGCCTTCTTGGCAGCAGTTGCACTTACTATGTTTGCAAGATTAAATACAACTACGTCTACGCTGAGAAAATAAAGATCCCAGGATGCGGTAAAGTTATATTAGAAGTTAATATAAATAAGTAATGAAAAAATCAGAAATATGACCTATTTCATATTATATGTAGGTGATCCAGTTTGGCATCACTGACATATATTTATGTATAAAAAAGTAACCGGTAGAAAAGTATCATAATAAATTAGCTTACAAAGAGTATTTGACAGACAGAGGGACAGAAAGACACGTGAATGATCCTACAAGAGTTTTGTTTTTATCTTTTTCGAACTCACCAAGTTGATTAAATGTTAACACGAATAATATTTCCATTTCTTTCCTTTCAGATTACTGGGGAAATGGTGAAGTTCTATCCCAGGCTAATGCAAATGCGATTGGTAATGGTTGGGCTCAAGGAGGAGGCATCTCAAATGCCCTGGGTCAAGCACAAGCAGTATCTCAACCTTACGGCGGAGGCTCAGCTTTCGCTGATGCTCTAGCTCACGCTCAAGGCTTAGGAAGCACTGGTGGAGGATATGCCGATGCATTAGCTCAGGCTCAAGGTTTGGGAGGAATCAGTGGTGGTCTTGCTAATGCTTTGGCTCAAGCTACATCACAATCACAAAATTTGGGAGGAGCCAGTAGTGGGCTTTCTGATGCTCTGGCACAAGCTACAGCGCAAGCACAAGGTTTAGGAGGCGTTGGTGGTAGTTTTTCTGATGCTCTAGCTCATACGCAAGGTATAGGAGGCATAGGCGGAGGATATGCCGATGCTTTAGCTCGTGCTCAAGGCATAGGAGGTATAGGCGGAGGATATGCCGATGCTTTAGCTCATGCGCAAGCACAGGCTCAAGGTATGGGAGGAGTAGGTGGTAGCCTTGCTGATTCTCTAGCTCTTGCTCAAGGTTTAGGAAGTATTGGCGGAGGATATACTGATGCTTTAGCACATGCCCAAGCTCAAGGTTTAGGAAGCCTTGGCGGTGGATATTCCGATGCTTTAGCACATGCCCAAGCTCAAGGTTTAGGAGGCATTGGCGGAGGATATTCTGATGCCTTAGCACATGCGCAAGCTCAAGGCTTAGGCGGTATTGGCGGAGGATATGCTGATGCTTTAGCTCAGGCCCAAGCTCAAGGATTTGGAGGATATGGCGGTAGCTCAGCCATTGCAGATGTCTTGGCTCACGCTAATGGAGCAATCGGTAGTATCAGATCAGGAGAGGCAGATGACGAAGAAAAAAAAGATGATGAAGTAAGAAAGAAACGAGAAACTAGTTTCTCAAGACTAGTTCACTGGGCACGCGAAAATGACGAAAAAACTCAATGATGTGTAAGTAACTTAAGAATATATATAAAGATAAGTGAGGAAATTGTATAGATGATTAATGTCTTTTATTTTCAGTATTCTGATTATGATTACAGAAAACACAACATTCATCTGCTGGCAACAGTTAGAAGGCATAGCGATCTCAAATCCTGTAGTTTTAAGAGCAGCATCAAAATCGACAGCAAAGCAAGCTTTACATATTTATAAAAATAAATCTTAGTGGGATAAAAAATCTTTTATTTAGTCAACCAAAATCCTAATTGAAAGAAAATGAATTAAAATTTATGATGCATTGTGAAGTTCATATAACACACACAAAATGTTGTGGACTTTCAATGGAAAGTGGGTATGATCATTCTTTTTACCATTTTTGATCAATTATAAAAGTAATGCGTATTAAGAATTTAGAATAAAAACTTGAGAATATTTTAAACTTAATAATGTTATTGCACTTTTAAAAAAAGCAGAAGTTATATGAAATTAATTACAAATTATGCTTATAATAAAATTAAGTTTTTATTCTTATAATGAAGAAAATTATATGAATCAAAACAACTTCTAGTTACTATATGGCTTACTCTAATGTTAAAAATTATACAAAAAGAAGAAATTATAATTACATCTAAAAAATTATATCTTATATTTTGAAGAATTAGCAAGTGAATTTTGTCACGCTAATGGTATTAGTGTTTCAATAACGCAACATTTGAAAAACCGTTCACAACAGAGTAATATATCATTTAACTAATATATATAAACGAAGCAATGGCTAAAAGCGGTCTTCTGCTCTAAGTAAACGTTGGTTAAGAACACATGATGTATATATTCCTTTGGGTACATTGCTCAAATCCCAAATGAAGTAGTGAAAGCACTTTTACTGTCAAAATCTGAAACCATGACGTTACAACATCCAGACCGCAGGACACAATAGAAAAGAGCATTTAAAAAATTGATACGAACGAGAATCAAACCCGGGACATCGGAGGTGTCGAGAAATATGAATATCGTAAAAACATTTACCAAATATCATTTTAATAACTCTTTTTACAAGTTTGAAAGGAGTTCGAAAAATATGAAGTTTATCATATTTAATTTGCACATCTCTATAGGCAAATTATAATCAAAACAAATGTATAATCTTAAAATTGAATAATTATGAACAAACCAAGTTTAAAGAAAAGTTTTTTTTTTTTTACAAAATCGGTATATTTTTGGCTGTATTTTACTTATTTCGGTGGCATCTTGGAATAAAAAATTAACAACAATTTAAAGATAATAGGTTAGCCAAGGATATAATCAAATAATTATGTTATTCTTATGTGGTAATCATATGCGTAGTAAGGTTTAAAATGAGTAATATTTTTAATTCATAATTAAATATAAATTACTCTTTATAACTAATTTTAAGTAAAGGCTATTCGCTCTTTAAAAAGTATTATTTTAAGGTATTATAACAATATATAAAATTATAGTATAAGTAATTAAGAACTGATGCAAAATAAGTGCATAAATATGTAGTATTTTATTCAGTGATTTTAATACTCGTATGTGTCAAGTATGTCACACTCTTGACAATCTATAATAAAATCATATATTTATTATATTTGATAAATTTGTGACGGGTTCGATGCTTAGGCAAATGAATAAAAGGCTGACTAAGCTTAGGAATTTTATTTATTAAAGGCTAATAAGAAAAAACTGTAACAAATAAAAAATGAATATAAATACAGTTCGAATGATTACCATAATAATATAATTAAAATAGTTAAATAGAACAAATACGTACCCCGTTTCTGGGTTTTCTGTAATAAATAAAACTTGGAAGATGTTTCACGGAAATATACTTTTGGATTTACATTTTTCTTATTTAAATTATAATTACTTTATTATTATTAGATTTATATTATTAAATGATCATGTTCACAACAGATGAATTTATTTCTCTTTATGAATGTCAGTTTACGAAAGGTATAATAAAAAGAAAAATGTTGAAAATCAAAGACAAAAAGTTTGCATGCCGATATCTAGGACGAATTAAACGGTCTGTAGTACGATGCACCATTACAAATTTTGCTTTCACACTGGAATAAATTCTTAATTAAAAAATCAACATTATCAATAGTACTCTGAGATGGAATTCGAACCCACGCCCTTTCGCAGTCCAGGCGACTGCTCTAACCACTGAGCTACTCAGGGCCTAACAGGACTGACGAATTTTTCAAGCACTTGTTACTTTTCGCTACTACAGAGCGTATTTTCATCAATGTATAGGCAATGCACCAAAACAGACGAAAGAAAATATTACAAATATTTTAAACTTTCGATAAAGATTAAAAGTAGAAAGTGCTTGCAAAATTCTTCAGTCCTGTTAGATCCTGTGTTAGATCGTATCCAATGGTAAGAGCAGTCGACCGGGTTGCGAAAGGTCGAGGGTTCGAATCCCATCTCAGAGTACCAGGGACAAAGTAGATGTTTAAGCCCTTTTTTCAACAATTATTTATTATTAATGACGGTGACACATGATAAAATAGTAAATAATATTTTGATTCATATGTTTACGGTTTTCAATTCAATCAATCACGTTCAAATTGACGTCTATTAAGACTAAATCAAATCGTATGACAAGCCGTTTAGAATGAATTAGTGAATTATATCAATAAATCATAGTTGCAAATTTTCATGCCTCTCTAAGTACCCCTTTATAAAAGACTTCGTAAAAGATACGGGTCACAATTACTCTATTTCGACAAAGCAAAGAAGTAATTGAACATACATTTATGAATTAGTGGGTGCGAATCGGTCATCATGAGGACTGTGTTATGGGTGGTGTTATTCTTGATGTGTACTTTTGCTCCAGCCTTATCAGACAACAATGAGAAAGATTCGGAAGACACTGCGTTAAGAACAGGGCAAGTGATTACGATAGATGAAGCAGACAGCTTAGTAGATGCCAACGATCTATTTGGACCGAGTCTTGCAAATACTATTGCACAAGTTTCACCATCGAGTAACGTGTTGGGAACATATAGTAATGCTAATGCTCAAGTGTTTGGTGAAGGATATACCCCTTTGAATAGTCCATACAATGGAGCAGGAAATTTTGGACCAAGTTTTTCCACCAGTACTCAAGCTCAAGCTTTGGCCGAAACTTTAGCTGAAGCGCAAGCTTTGGCTGAAACGCAAGCTTTAGCTGAAGCGCAAGTTTTAGCTGAAACGCAAGCTTTAGCTGAAGCTCAAGCCCAAGCTCAAAGCTTGGCTCAAGCTCAAGGCCAAATTCAAGCCCAAGCTCAAGCTCAAGCTCAAGCTCAAGCTCAAGCACAAGCTCAAACTCAAGCTCAGGCTCAGGCTCAAGCTCAAGCTCAAGCCCAAACTCAAGCCCAAGCTCAAGCTCAAGTGGAAGCCCAAGCCTTACTTAACGCTCACAGACCAAATAATTATGTTCATCCAAAACTTTCAGAATATCTTCCACTACAAATTCTTTACGAACCAGAATATCCCGTCACACTAGGAGCTCAAAACCAAGCCAGCGCCAACGCTGAAGCGTTTGCTAGCACCAATTCAAGTAGGTAGAATTTGGATAGCTTTGGAAATTACTCAAGTATTGTTAATATAAATTCCTTCTTTATTCTAGAATTTTCTTCGAGGCCAGTATCTAGCAATGAATATATAAGACCGCAACAGCTCTTAGGTAAATAATATTTTGTATTAATATCACTATTGGGTTTTGTTATTGTGATAAAGTCACTTGTTATTGTTTTTCAATGTTAAATGGCGGTTACAGACGCTCCAGATGTTTACTGTAGATTTTACGGTGAATTACTCTACGTTTCGACTTTGGAATATGACTGCATGGTGTGCGCGTGCCTTCAAGATATGAACCCCATTTGTGCCAGCTGTAGTGGATGTTCCCGACCATTACCCTCAATAGCTTCTCATCCTGCATCTTATCCGACTCCTCTGATTCCATTAATATCATCACAATCGTCAATACCACCGATATCAAAAAAAGATGGTATGTGTATCACAAAACTAACTAAAACTAACTAAATATTAGCTTATGAAAATAAATACAAATTCTTTTATAAAATAATTAATTTTAAAATCATATTGATACAGTCACATGCAGTCCGCTTCCAAGCAATCAAGCGTTCCAGAATCCATTGAATCCTTGCCAGATTTGCATTTGCGAAGAAATCATTGACATATTTGGACATCCTGACGTCAAGATCCATTGTGAAGAGAATACCCAATGTGGTATGATTCTATTATTACTTTAAACTTTAAATCTTTCGTAAGCTTATTTTGCAATTGCTAATTTACATTTTATTGCTTTAACGTTGCAGTTTTACCACCTGAACCTTTACGTAAGTCAACTTTTTTTTTCAAACAGGAATAAATAATTTATTTCAAATTGACACTAATCCAATGATAAATAAATTCCCCGATTTACAGCTCTGATGACAGAACTATCTACACCTGTTCCATGTAAGAGAGATATTTTCTGTAACGGTTATCGTCTCGTAGCACAGATGTATGCTATAAAGTAATAATTTATTTATTTCAGTGCCGCTCTGTGACAAATTCCCAGTGGATGTTGCTTTCCCTCATCCTACTGACGTATGCTTGATTTGCAAGTGCATCGTTATTCCTGTGTCCTTGGTGCCTGTGAAACATTTGACTTGCTCTCCAAATCCTATATGTGGTAAAACTCTATAAGTTATTATCATAATACTTAAATTTCTCATTTATTTAGTCTAGCCAATGTACTAAATACATATTACAAGCACATGTGAAAGTCAAAAATTTATGCCATTTGTTCGCAAATCTAATAAGGAACACCACGAAAAATCGAGAAGAAGCACAACGAATGCTGCATTTTCCTCTTGAAGAAATAATATAACCTCTAATCTATAAATACAAAATTAAGTAACATAGATCATGAGATACATGTTTTTTACAGAATCGTCATATCCTGCATCACTCCCTCAACGAAGTAAGTAGACAATCGAAACTTATTTTTGAATTGTTACTATCGAACGCAATGGGCTTCATTGAAATTAATGCCATACCTTTCATTAACTAATAATATCTATAAACAAAATAAATTTCTATGTTTTGCGTCAATGTGGTATACATATTTTTTGATATTAAAATAATAAACTGCTAATGTAATTTTCTTGAGTAAATAAATGAAATAAATAATTGTTCTAGTAAACAGACCAGTAGGACCAGTGCCAACAGCAGTACCATCTGTTTCACCAGAGTCGATACCAGCTGTATTTCCGACTCCTTTACCAGAAATAGTACCCATACAGTCTCCAATTTCTCTACCAGAGATAGTATCAGTACCGTCTCAGACTCCATTTCCAACTTCTATACCAGAATTAGCAGCAGTACCGTCTTTAACTTCCTTTCCATCTCTTGTACCAGAAACAGTCGCAATTCCATTTTCGACTCCTCTATCAGAGATAGCACCAGTACCGTCTCTAACTCCATTACAAACTCCTTTACCAGAAACAGTAGCAGTACCGTCTCTAACTCCATTTCCAATGCCAATACCAGAGATAGTAACACTTCCGTCTCTAACACCATATCCAACTCATATACCAGAATCAGTAGCAGTGCCGTCTCTAACTCCATTTCCGGCCCCTCTACCAGAGATAGTACCAGCACCGACTCCAACATCATTACCGGTACCAGTACCAGCACCATTGCTGGAATCAATACCTCTGTCTCCTAGTCCACTGCCGGGCCCATCACCGCGTAAGTTACGCAAATTATTCATACCTTAAAATTTTTACTATAAATATCACCATTTTAATAATAATTCAAACTAATAATAAGTCTGTAATGTTAATAAATCATCAGTAGCACAATTTCATACCAACAGCTGAGCAATTACTTTGTGTTGTTATGGTTAAGTGAAGTGATACATAGCAATATTTTCTTATTAAAACTTTAAATATTATTACAGAACGTTTAAGAAAAAAAAATAACTACGTTAATTCCAAATTGGATCAAATTTGATATAATTTCATTCTTCCTTTTTTAATTTTTTGCTTATTTGTTTAGTACATTTTATTTTTTGTAGATCAATCATGTCGACCCTTTACTCCAAAAGTGCCATTCCAGCACCCATGGGATGAATGCCAGGTCTGCGTCTGCGCCGAGAATGTTGGCCTTCAAATTGTCACAATCGAGATCAACTGCTACACCAAACCTGACTGCTGTTAGTGATTCCAGTATTTTAATTTTCAATTATAAATAAAACTTTCCTGTTTTCTTAAAACTTTATCTTACAATTTATGTGAACACAATCTTGATAATTATAACTTATTCAGTCTACATCATAAGCAATTAAAACTATATATATATAATAGTTCTCTATACTCTTATGATAATTTTATTTTAAAAAAAAATCAGTTAAATTTTTTTAATTTTTACTTTTTGACTTTACAATGTATCGCATTAGATTATGAAATTCAAAATAATCATAGCCATGTATTATTTTAATTACAGGTATAGCATACGCTGAACCAAACCCGAACCCACGTAAGTACAAAACAAAATCGTTTTAGTCATAAAATTGGAAGCAGCAAGCTTATTCGTGTTTTAAGAATTCAGCTTGGGAGTATTGTAAAAGTTCCACATTGATGTTTATGAATGCATTTATCCTCGTTTTCAAATATTTGAATTCGCCTCTCATAACCGGAAAATTCTTTTGCTGCACCTGCTGACTAGTTCTATGGGAAACCTACCACGCATCCGATACAATAAATGAAGTGGTTCGAATTTTCAACGGTATTTTTGCGATGGCGCAAAATAAAAATGTTTATTGGCATCGGAACAACACCTGAATGTTAAAACTTCGAAACGAAATAAGTAAAAATTTACGACGAGACATGTGTTACAGCTGACATGTTAAAAACTTTCAAATTAACCGACGCTTTAAAACCAGAAAGGTAAAGGCTTGCAAATGTAAGATAAAACTAACTTCAAAGATTAAGCGAACCAAGGTATTAATATATATTTATTTGTCGACATTTATTTAACGGACTCTATATTTCTCAGACAGATTGTACTGTAGATGTTCGTTATAATTGTATTTTTAACAATTATGTCTTTATTAATAACCGTATTAATATTCGGTTTTGACTAAATAGTTACTTTAAAATCACATAAAACTATACTATAAAATATTTAAATTGGGAAATTAAGTAAATTAATATATTCTTTTATTTCAGAACCTTACTATATTGGAGTTGGACCAAGTGGTCAACAAAGATTATTACCAAATCCTAGAGGCTATCTAACCGAATCAGAAGGAAGTTCCCTTGCGGAAGCTGACACTATTACATCAAATAATAAAAATAGCAATAATAAATCACCTTTCTCGTTTGCTAATTCTATTTTACCAGTAGTCTTTTTACCAGGTGTAAGAAATTATCCAAATTTTCCTACAGCTCTTCCAGGAAAGGGTAAACTACCAGTACTTGCAGCGGCTGAATCCAACTCTTTAGTCAGTAATGGATATGGCAAGCGTTATCCGGGAGATTTTTTGAATTTACTTCAAGGGCAAAATATACCTATAAGCACAGGATATAATATACTGGGATACGGAGGTAAACATGTACCAAGCCAAAATAATGCAGAGAATCAGGCGAACATTTTGAATAATGTTGGATATACTACACATTATCCAGAATATTATAAAGACCTTTTACCAAGACACAATAGTATACAAATCATCCCTGAAACAAAACCAAACACCGTAGCTAATTCTAGATATACCCAACCGAGTTATACCGCCATTTTACCAGATCATAATAGTGCACAAGTTATCGCTGATACAGGGACAAATGATGTGATCAATTCTGGGTACGTACAGCCCAGTTATTCAGGATATTATACAGGCATTTTACCAGGACAGAACAGTGAACAGGTCAATGCTGAAGCAGAGGCATATGCTGCACCTGATTCGGGATTCACGCAGCCAAGTTATCCAGGATATTATACAGGCACTTTAACGGGACAAAATAGTGAAACAGAGGCGAATAGTGCAGCCAATTCTGGGCATATGCACCCAAGTTTTCCAGGATACTATACAGACGCTTTATTCGGACAGAATAGTGTACAAGCACCAAATTATCCAATTATGCCACCAGCCTATTATACAGCAGGCTTACATCCTAGTTATCCCCTATCAACAGATGCCTGGTCCTCTGTACAAGGAAATACATTACCTTCAGCCGATGCTAAAGTCTATGCAAATAATTTCGTTCCCGAAAATTTGAGTACCGTTAAACACCAAACTGTGATTAGACCTAGTAAGTTTCATTTGTTTATATTTTATACTTAAGTGCATTACTTATGGTTATGTATTATCGAATTTATTATAATTATTGAATTTAATATACGAAAGTTAAAATATGAACATGAAAACATTACTGTTATTTATTTTTTAGATCCTGTGGCAATAAAATCTGCTATTAAATCGGGTAAGCTAAAATTATTTCTGAATTTATCAATTGCCTAAAATACTGCTAATATTTTTGACATAAAATGCCAAAAATATATTAAGTACAAGTTACGTATTATTTTCTGTATATCCCCAATACTTTGGTGAGCACTGACAACTTTTAGGACATAAATTAAAAATATATTACAAGAGCAGATGGCGTGCGGGTCTCATGCAAATTCCATTTAATCAAACTTCCTTTGGGACCTTCCAAGCTTAGAACTTATCCAATTTTTTCTGCAGATACAAATAAAATTTTTAGTTTTTTATGATTTATAAATTCACTATAAACGTCTAACAGAACATTTGATGTCTTATACTTGTACTATTACCGGAAGTTTAGAATGTGCCAACCAATTTATTTTCTTAATTGACTACAAAATGAAGAATATTCTTCATTTTGTAGTCAATTAAGTAGTCAATTAAAATTCCCTTACGGGTCTTTAGGAAAAAAGTGCAAGTATGACGGTGACTTGTACCACGAAGCGTGCCGGGTTTGCTACTGTCATCGTGACTCTAGTGGCCATCTTAATTCTAACTGCTTAGGGACTCCATGCGAGTAGTGGGTATCTATCTTTCGTTATCCATGATCAATAAAAATATTTAACCACATTTTTTAATGTCTCATATACTCGTAACAATTGCACGAGTGCTCATATTTTGTGTAAACTAAGCAGATTTTCTTTTTCAATTACTAACCATCACTTTTACATTGATTTTACCCTCATGTCAGGTTAAAGAAAGTGTATAAAAACCCTTATTTCAGTTATAAATATATAAAAAATGAATCAAAATTACCCAAATAGCGAAAAATTTCTAAAAGCTTTATATATGCACAATAAAAATAAATTAAGGATGATTATATATTACGCAAAGTTATGTTTGTACTCCGAAGAAATGCCTATTAGTGTTAATCTAACTGAATGTTAATTAAATGAAACTTTACCATCTTAAGGAATTATAAACATTTCTGTTTCAGCTAATCCAGACTTTGAAGACTTAAGTTAAGGACAAACAGATTTGATTTTGAGAACGACAAATGGCAAGATAAATGGACATTGGACGTAGATAGTTTAGTAGTAAGATGCAAACGGTGCTTCTAATCAAATATATAATAAAGAAGTATCATTACGTAAATGTTTTACTTAAACAATTTCCAATCATGTAAATGAGGTAAATTTTGAAGGCACGTCACACCAAGAAATATCATGACGATATAACGTAAGCTCTGTTTCCAAAAGATTTGATAAAAACAATTACTACGACTCCGACACAATTCGATCGCTTCTACAGTAAGCGATCGCTTCGTGCATATAAGTTCCATTATCACAGACGTACCTATTCACAAAACTCTGTTAAGTTAGTAGTAATCTTAAGGTACAGCCTCTATCTACATTGAAGGGCACTTCTGCTCAGTAAATGGTGTCTCAAAAGAAAATTTAATTACAAAAAAAAAAAACAGAAAAATAACTAAGCAGTTAATCAATAAAATGCTTTTTTTTTCTAATACACATTCTTTAGGAATTTATTTCTTAAAGATAATGTTGTTCAAATGTTTACCCTCGCGTTCATGGCAGTAATTTGATCTATCGCTTAAATTTCTGATGACGGCTTTACAATCACACGATCTCGACAATGAGACACATTAGACGTGTGTGACGTCACTGCATCCTGCTGGAATTAGGTCAATTGATTAAAACCTGGAAAATTCAGTAGTTTAGGCAAAACAAACTATTGTTTTAAACTACATATTGTTTTGAAGTTTATGAACATAAAACTAAAATATTAAACTGCGAAAAGCTAGCAACAATCACTTTCTTACTTAGTGATTGTACTAATGCAATATAAATAAATTGATACAATACTATAACAGAGTAGCATTAATGAATAGTTATAATAATGGTATCAAAACGGAATTTAATAAAACCACACAGTAAAATAAATCAGAGAACAAAATAAACATATTTCAAAGGTTTTATAAAAAGATCAAATAATATATTAAACACACAAAGGCACTACAAAGTTATAAAATATGTAAGTAAGTAAAAGAAATAGCTACATGTTCTGACTGAAGTTACATGGGTGATTTAGAGTTCGCTACTATATATCGTTGAAAATATAACCATCACTTTCGCAATACAATAAGCAATAAAAATATAGCGTTCGACGTTATTATGTCGCTGTATTACATTTGTGCGAGGGAACTATAAAATGACACTTTATTGGATAGAGAAAGAATAGTGAATTATGACAGTTTGGTGCATCGTATTATTTGCGATTGGTGGTAAGGGGAACTGAAAAAGAATCTCAATTGATTACAATTATTAATAATAATAAGTAAGGCTCTCGATCGGTGAATAAACAAGAATTTTAAAAAAAAACTATGAAGTTAACACAAAATTGTTTAGACATATTTCATATCGCAAATTGAAGATAAATCAGCACAGTTTAACAGAGTATATAGTGATAGACAGAAAATAAAATTAATTTATAGAAATTACTGACATATTTTCTTATATAATAGCTTATCTGACAAACTAATTATTGCAAAATAATTATTAGCAAAAAAAGCTAAAAATTTAATTTTGTCGCACAAATATTAAAGCACACGGTACATAAAAATAAATGTAAATTTCTCCATATTAATCGACACAATTACTTGAATTGACGCCGAATGTTTGTAAAAATAGTCTTCTTAAATCTTTAAATATCTGACACATAATATACAACAGATTTTTATGCTGAAGTTTCATTATTTTTTTTTTATGACTGTTAAGCCAAAATTGTACACAATTCTAGTAAAATATACCGAAATTGTAGATCATATTATTACGAATAAATGATTTAGCAGTATCTTTTAAGTTTGTTTTAATGAGAGAGAGAGCAAGAAAGTTTTAATGAGAACGATCATAGAAAGGCAAACTTAATCACTTTTCCATGATTGGAATTAGATAAAACAAGAATAAAAGTTATTTGTTCGTGCGAAGCTGTGTCATTGAACTTTTCTTTGGCAGTTTTTAAGAATGAACGTCTTTAATATCTAAAAAAAAAAATCTAATTCTATTCTGTATGACAAAAAGAAGTCTTTTTTGAATCAGTTTACAGTTATAATGGTGCTACCACTTTAAATTATATACACCATTTGGAGAACGTAGCTGCTTTTGGTGATGCGCACCACAGGGAAGACAAATGGGTCCCATTTACTGATTCATCCCAATCGTCTGGTAGCAGTGATTTACGCTCAACCGAATCATCTAGTGTGTAAGAACCTTTTACATCTGTAATCGTCTTTTGTAATTATGTTTCATTGTTGTCAGATATTTAATTTATTTTGCTATACAGATCTGTGTCAAGTTCGTACACTATTTCTTCCTCGTCCTCTTCAGAAGCATCATCAGCGGAGACAAAGGAATTAAGACGAGCGTAAGCATAAATCAAACAGTTATTCTATTTTTTGAACACAAATAATATGACTAATTGTATTTTAAGTTTACGTAAATGTTGAAATAGCTTAACAAATTTTGATGATAAAAATTCCGAAATCATATACATTTAACATATAAAACTGTTTGCTTATATTTATAGAACAGAAACATATAGGACCTGTTATGCGTGTCCTCATGATATGATGAAGAAACATTCTAACCGCGGCATCAAATGGATTTGTGGCGCTTACCAAAGAGCCCGAAGAACATTTAAGAGTGAATGTATGATGCGTTACAGGAACTGTCAAGATGGCACCAGTAAGTGATATATAAGGATAACATCATTGAAACGATGTAATTCATCAAACGAATAAAAAATAGTCGATGAAATTTTAAATTTTGTAAGAAATATGATATATTTAGTGTATTCTATCTAGTTTATATCAAAGCTTGTTCAATAAGAAGAAAATTTACTTACTTCGATATAATGCAAGTATTACTTAGTATAAATAAAACATGGATGCACATAAGAAGTAACAAAAGAGGAAGTCTTTACATATATACGAGTATTAACAAGACAGGCATGCCAATCTTTTTTTTTTTCAAGTTTGTGTCAACATTTCTTATTCTTTCCTTTTTGGGAAAGTTCAAACAAATTTATTTGTATTCGAGTTCAAGTTTGAACGTTGTCCTTCGCCCAACCTTGGAGACGATGTTGTTTAAAAGAAATTATAACAATGCCCTTTATTTTTGCAAGGTAGTAAAATCGTACTACTCAGCCAACTGGTTCAAAAAACATTATGTACCAGGATCATCAACAGTTGTGGAATTTATATACTGAAAAATCGCCTACAATTTTAGCGGCAGATCAAACTAAAGAAAAACTGATATTGTCCTATTTCGTTGCCAGCTATAAATATCTTGGATATTGTTTTATTTTGACATACAAATGACTTCGATAATATCATCAAATATTACAAAGTATAAAAGCTTTGATTCGTAATAGATTGAATCAAAATCGAAGACAAAATCATCTTTATTTAAATAGACTTCTTAAAAGTGCTTTTGAATTACAATTTTCCATAATATGTTGTCAACTACACCACTGATCTGATAAAATTCATTCCCCAGGTCGACAAACTATATACAAATTAATCTTCGGGGTAATTAAAGTAGAAGGGCTAATTTTACTGACTAACTGCATTTATTATTCTGCTTCCAGTGTTTGTCAAACTTCACGATCATCGTTGTAAAAATGATACATATCATGGAAGACATTGGTTCTACGTGTACAGAATATAATGAAGATACGAAATAAGTTTTATTATAACCACATTTAATATAAAATCTTTTTTTTTCATCTAAACTATTACCAAGTGAAATAAGTATTTTTTTAGAAAAGTAGCAGAAAAGGATTTTATTTTAAAGAAAACGATACGATTGTTTACTTTAAGATAAAAATTATTCAAATGATCATCCTATGAACTAAGTTAAAAGTATAAAAGAAGCTGAAAAGAGGTAGAATAACTAAGTATGAAACTTAAAGATATAAAAAAATTAAAATAAACATATTTATTCCTCAAATTTAACATCTTTTAATCAAGATTAAGTTTTTTAGATCACAAACAAATAACAAAGACCGCAATTTTCGTTTCCAATATGTCTGACTTATAAACATTCGAGAGATAGAATATTTTCAACGAAAACAACGTTATTTTCTCTAATAAATATTTTTGAGGTTGGATAATTTTGAAAGTGTAATCAAGGGCGGTTTCAGGAGTGCGATCATGGGATCATGACCCATCCCCACTTGGGCTGGGTCGAGGACTTAGGTGAACTACTAATTGAAATTGTTATACATAATGTTTTTTTTTATATATTTTCTATCCCAGTATAGATCTTATCGAAGTACTTTCACAATTTAATACTTTGTACCTATCTATTATTATCAAAATTAAATTCTTATGACTTGACCACGACTACATATGTGATCCCCTCCTGACGCCAAATCTGAATTCGCCCTTGAGTGTAATCGATACGATGCTACATAAATTAATATTTGCTCAGATCCCAAATAAAGTTGCTAAAGCACTAATACCCTAGAAATGATGAAATTGAACCCACCAAGAATCGAACCTGGGAGCGCGGTGATGGCGACACCTTTAAACTAGGGTGCAAACCTACTTCTACGGAGAATGCCAGTACACAAATTACTAATATTCAACTAATCATTCCATAGTAATACAACAAACAAGACAATATCTTGTTGGCTTTGGTCACCCAGGTGATTTGAGGACACAAAAATATGCAATTTGAATATCCAGGTGATCGGTATGGAATAAACCGTATGTATGGAACTATGGTGAGAATAAAATAAATATACGAACTTATTCGGATGTGATCCCAATAGGATTGGAAGGAGCTTTTTGTAATACATTTAAAAGATCAGTTATGCATGCATACCGTCAGAAACATTTTTATTTATTAATAAAGTAGGCATATAAAACTTTTCGTTTATTAAAATTCCAACACGTCCAATAAAACTTTGAATAAGAAAAAAAAAATATATATTTTATATTTGCCTCGTCGAAGTAAAGACGAAGAGTACAGACAAAAATATGATTATACAAATCACTATTATGTTGACCGTGGGAGACTTTTCAAAGAATTATTCAATAGAGTTCGAGCAAAGCTGAATGTTTAAATATCAACCCATATATTATCGGGTTTCAAGAATATAAATATTACAAACAATATAAATCGTAATCTGAATACACAATAAAAAGCAACATTAACTTGACCAATAAGTAGTTTATCAAACCAAATCATACAGGTATAAAGGTATCGAAAAGTATTGCAAAATCTCACGAAATGCATTCAGTTTAGCTACATAATAATTATTCGATATTTTCAATACATGCACACTACTGTTGGATATGGTGTTACTGCGCTGTTCGAATATAATTATTTGCTTAATCGTCAGTAAGTATAAACTCAATCAAATGCTAGTATAAAATGAAATTAATTGATTCAGCTACTTTATTATTTGCCACCAAGTAATCCACATACAGCGCGTTTGGTGGATCATGACCCGTTTTCTTTACGCGATTCATAGCGATGGCAGGTGCCACAGAGGTGATATTAATTAGATGATACAGACTTTAATGGTGACTTAATGCTTTCAGTTGATGTTGCACTGTCGAATTTACCAACGGGTACAACTGAAGTAGACAATCTTCTAGACGATAAAATAAAAAATGATTCTATTATTCTCAATTCCAAAAAGGTAAAAACAAGAAGAAAAAATAAGAAAAAGCAGCGGTCAACATCCTCATCATCCGATGAAAAGGGAAAGAGTAGGTTGAAAAGTGATTGGTATCGCTTGCATAAAAAACCCGGCCAAGAGCGAGTTGGACTTCTCGTGACATTCATTTGTTTACGTTGCATAAAAACGTCTTTGGATCAAAAATTTTTAAAGGCTTATCAAATTTCAACTCACTCGGAAAAGAGAACTACTGCTGTGATAGACGCACAGACAGGCCACCGCTAATCCTTTAAGGCAGAATACTAACTGTATGTAAATAACATAATTGTAAAGCAAATATCAGTGATTTGAAGGCAAGGAAATATGAATCTGTTACTAAATAAAGCGATGATATACACGTATAATAGAAAAACTCACAAGTCGCACATATTTTACCTTTTTACATTAATCTAATCTAGATATAATTTTATCCAATTCGCAAGGTGTAATGGTGTATCACATATTTGTTTTCATTAATTCGTTAAATATTTTTCATAAGAACAGTATTTTTACAATCTTCAGTATAATAATAATTCAATCCAGATCAATATAATATACGCCAACAGGGAGTTGGTGTACCATGTTGGTGTTTATTTTATTTAAATATAAACTTTGTTGAAGTAAACTTTTAGAAGATATTTCATCAACTCCATTTTTTTTGTTCATATTTCAGAGTCAAAGTCTGGAACTGGTGAATCACTCAGTTTGTCGTACGATGAATCATTGTCAACGTCAACATCTACAGAGGTAAAGAAAGATAAAAAGAAGGGTAAGAAGAAGTATGAACCTGTTTCCTCTATAGAAAGACGCGGGTGGTAAGGGCATATTACTAACACCTTGTATTTTCGGACTTATTGAAATTGCTTGTGTTTTAAACAAAAAATTTGTGAATTAGAATAATGTTTACATAAACATTCGAAAAGGAAATAATTTCTGTTATGGTTATTAAGGAGAAAATGGCATCGTAAATGCGCACGTTGTCCCGAGATGACCTTGAAATGGCGTAGTCCTCAAATTAAGTGGATTTGCGGCGCCTATCAGCGTGCCAGAAGATCATTTAAAAGCCTCTGCATGATGCACTACAGAAACTGTCAAGACGGAACCAGTAAGTATAACGGAACCAGTAAATATATTTCATATTTTTAATGAAGTCATTTTTCAATCTTGACACTGTATAAAATATAAAATAACAGCGACAAAAAACCAGCCCTTGCCGAGTTTCTTGCCGGTTCTTCTCGGTACAAAGTCTCCCGCCGTAGATTTAAGAACCGATGGCGTAGCTCTCGACTTTCACAAGTGCTAATAACATTCTGATTTGATTTGGTTTAATATAAAATTCGCTCTCAACAAGCCCTTTCATTTGACCCATATTGTAGAAGTGGATTAAAAATAACTCTTCCGCCATCTTGTATGGTCCGCCATATTGGATTTAGAATGACATCACATTATTTTTCTAGTTACTCTCAATGAGCTCTTTCATTTAATACCCATATTGTAGAAGTGGATTAAAAATAATTATTCCGCCATCCTGTATGGTCCGCCATATTGAATCTAGAATCACGTCACACACAAAATGATGATGTGTATACAAAATTTCAGCTCAATCGGTTGAAGATATCTATTCTAAATTGAGTTCAATGATTCCACCCGAACAAACATACATACAGTGCAAGTTAAATTAAAGCTTTTAAAAAATAATTAGAAATAAAAGTAGCATATCATGACTATCAAAAATATAGGAATCACAATATTTCCGGACTTTAAAATCAAGTCCTGCATCAAACATTTTTAATACATTTTAATTATCTCGACCTTCATAAATTTGCTATACTAAAATTTTAAACATCTTTATTTATTGTATGAATATTGACAACTGAAAGTGCTGGAATACGCAGTATTATATTAACACTACATTATACATACCTAAAATTATTTCTGATTTCCCGGTTACAATCTTAATCAGTACGAAGCAGAAATAAACAGTATTATAAGATTAGTTGTTTTATCATAAAATGACAAGTTTTATATACATTAGTTAGAATCTTACTGTGATTTTAATATTAAAAACCTTCCTATTGAATCACCCTATCTATGAAAAAAACCGCATCAAAATCCGTTGCGTAGTTTTACAGATTTAAGCATACATAAGGACAGAGAAAGCGACTATGATTTATACTATGTAGGGATGTATATATTTAGTGTTCACTAAGATCGCCGACCACCGTTGCAAGAACGACACAGAAAATAGTACACAACCTCGCGGAGAACATTTCTTCTACGATTATCATGCCCAACTTACTGACGATGATTCGAGCAGCACCTCCGGAACCAGCAGTGAAACTGAAGATAGTTCCAGCTCGTCATTTTAATTATAATTCCACGCCTTGATTGACATTATTCTATATCTCATATGCCACATCTAATACATAAAACTTTCCTTCTTTCTATCATTTCAAATAAACCTTTCATTTCAATTTCTTGTTTGAATTTTATTTCTAAATGTAACTGTAAGAAGGGATATTCTTTGTTTTATTTTAGTTTGAACAGGCTCCGAAACTACTGGAGCGATTATAAAAAAATCTTTGTTTATGGAAAGTTACATAATATGGGATTAACATGGGCTTTAAATTACGCAGGCAAAGTCGCGGAAAAACAACTAGTCTATGTTATTAAAGGTGATGCGATCGGTCGAAAATTCATGCTAAAGAAAGGTAAGATTTTCAAAAATCTCTAACTGCTGTTCTTACGAGACCCTAAAGAGATCTGAGTAAAATATGTAATCAAAAATCGATGTTATCATTATGAATAATACAAAATAATATTCAATAATAGTTTAAACAGTCAATGTAACAGCGTGCGAGACTCACACACGGACAGATAAATCATGTGTTATTATCTCAGCTACATCATCAATCTACGAGTTGTCGCGCCATTAATCGCGGCGTAACAGTAATTTGTCATGGCATGGTACAGACGGACAGACTGTGACTATTAATGCTGAAACGCTTGTAGTGTGTCGAATGGTTAGAACAGAGTACTGCGTCTGCTTGAAGTTCTTGTGTCATGATAAGACATGGCTATGAAAATCTCATAGCGATACGTCCATGATTTTACATAGTAGCCATCTACTATTTATTACTATAATTTTAATTAAATGGTATTAACTTAAATTTAGAAATATTTATATTATACCTCATAGTAGAGTCGCATATTTTGCTCCATATTTACTCAAGCAATTGCAAGATTTCACACCACCAGAAACAGTGGATCTACTAAAAAGGCAAAAAGTAAAATGCTTCCAGTCTTGTATTGACCTTCTAGGTTTGTTACAGCATAGAACAGAAGGAAAAGGCTGTGTCAATTAAATAATCAAGTCATGAAGGATGGTTGGTAAATAAAACCTTCGACTAAAATATCTAAGCCGTTACAAGCAATAGACAACATTATTTTGAACTGAGATCTTAAAAGACTAGAGTAGTAAACTCATTTGTTTATCGACTTTTATAGAAAGCAAATGTTATATTTTACTTTTAGATTTTCAATATTAACTTCGTATTACTTAAATATTAAACATATTACACGCTTTAGATTGCTTAAACGATATAAATATGTAAAATATGTACCCTTCCTTCCAGTTATTTTGTAATTAAAACAAAGTAGTTAACCCAATTTCGATAAAAAAGAAATATCGGACCTATGGATATACATGTGGTTTGGCGTCTCTTTTAATCACACAGGATTATTCTATTGGTTCGCTGAGAAACAAATAATCATACAATCGTACTGCTTTTTGAGATTTACAATAGCTTTGAAATGGATGCAGAAACTAATCAGAGTTTTATCGGCGAATTGGAACCTTAACCTGGCCTTATGGAAGCTGATTAATGATTATTTCAATTACAATCAAAGAATCGTTTCACTTTTTCTTATGTTAAAAATATCATCTATTTTTTACACGACTGCCCAAAAAATTAAGTATGTGAGTATTTATTCCATCGTAACTTTTGAAAGACTTATCATATTAATATATATCATAATAACTTTCGCCAGCGGCTTCGCCCGCGTTGTGCCTAAGGAAACGTTTAGTGAGATAAAAGTATAAAGTATTCTATAATCTAAGTCAGCTAATACCTTATCTGTACACCAAATTTCATCAAGATCCGTTCAGTAGTTTCGGTGTGATTGACGGACAAATATCCAAACAAAGAAACTTTCACATTTATAATACTTGTATTAATGGAATAGGATTATTACACAGTTATGAGTGTATCTCGAGTGACACTAGCTATATAATTTTCGTGTGTATAACATGTATTGAATATGGCGTATGTAAGTGCCATTTTAAAAATACAAATAACATGTTTTTATTTTAGCATTAACAGGTAGTTCCACAAACGTCCGTTAAAATTTTCATTTGTTTAAAACGACACAACATGTACAAATTTGACATTCATTAGAGTTTAAGGCGTCATTAAACATTATTGGACGTTTGTGCAACTGACCATAAGGGTGTCAAATTAAAGATATTGTTTAGTACAATCCATAAATATATACTTTGTATACATTAACTCGACACTAAAAGAAATTAAAAGTTTAAAACACAACTGTCAAAATGTAATAAAAAGGTAAAACAAATTGTACGATATTATGGCTTGGCTAAACGAAACACTCATTGCAATCGGGGGACCTCTTAGGTTACAAATATTCTACAAAACCGTCCCCCGGCTTCAATGAGAATTTTATTTAACCAAACCATAATGCAACTTTTTTATTTTATTGAATAATTCCATTGAAAAATAAATATAGGAGGTTACGAAAAATCAACTTGATTTTAGAGGATAAACCTTAGAAGCTTTTGTTGACTGATATCTGAGAAAACTAAATTATAGGAAATTTGTTACTATTGTTTACTATAGTATAGAATAACAATAGTAGAGAATAATTATTCAGAATAATACGGAATAAAGGTTCATATTAAGTCCTATTAAGTTACTATAAAGTTATAGTCAAGGATATATGAAAGCAATAAATTTGAACAATGTTATTGATATACAAACACTTGAACTATATAACAATTTAAATTTAGCGCTTTTGCTAAATTAGCATCATAACTATGTGTGCTTTAGAACATATAATGATGGGTGATCGCACAACAGGTAAAACCATCTAGCGAACATAACGTCATACAATCATTTGCATAATACGTCAACAGCATTTCGTTCGTACCCCTCTTTAGATCCGAGATCGTTTATCTCAATTTTTTTACAAAGGCAAAAAGAAATAAGAACATATATTTCTCCTTGTAGAAAAAATAAAATAAAATGCTAGACTTAAGAGCCTTTACAAATTACGTTTTTGATGAGCGCGTCCTCTGCGTGTTATCAGCGCGTTTTAGAAGATATAAATACATATTTCAATAGCATTTCCATGAATAAGTCGCTTTGAGTTTGATTTTTACTTTTTTGAGTTTAAAATCGTTTCTATTTTTTTAAGTTTCTATTTCATTTTTTTTAGTGATAATGATATTTATAAAATAAGTAATAAAACCGCGTCAAAACCGTTTTTAAGTGCAAGCCTCCATTTTTTTCAGTCGGTTTATATACCTAAAACCTACTAAGTCTCACAAATACTATGCTGAAAAATGCATCAAAATTGGAACAGCCAAACACAAGATAATCGCCCACAAACATACATACATAGGGGTCAAACTGAGAAACTCCTTTTTTGAAGTCGGTTAAATAAAACAACGCAAAGTATAAAAATTACACACATCGTTCCAGCAAAAGAAAAGTACAATGAGCAGATAAAAACTAATTTGCATTCCATTATCAGAGCAACGTATCGCGACAAGCTGCTGCGGCCTCTTGCGGAAACAATTTTCAAGTTAAAATACATTTGGGGATTGTACGTGATGTTAAAATGTGAAAATATGCTCGTTTGATTAAATTTCCTTTCATCATCATCATCATCACCAGCCCTTTTACGTCCCCACTGCAGGGGCTCAGGCCTTCCTTATGGATGGTTAAGGAGGATGGGCCATGACCCTCCACGCTGGCCCAATGCGGATTGGAGGGTATTAACGACTGCAAATGCAGCCGGGACCAACGGCTTAACGTGCCTTCCGAAACACGAAGTAGCTCGAGATAATAATTTTTTGGTCACCCATCCCGTGACCGACCCTTGCGAAAGTTGCTTAACGACAACGATCGCGGGCCGCGGCGCTTATCCACTACGCCACCGAGTTACTTAATTTTTGGCTAATATCAATTCTGCGATAAACATAATATATGTATCGTTATCGATTGTTCTGAATTTAATCTTTGTTTACATTATTATTCTTTATTTATGAAGAGTTTTCATTTGTCACATCAACTAAAAAAAGGTCAATAGTCACTTGTCTACTAGTCTAAAAAAACTAGTCTATAAAGATAATTAATCTGCCCTCTTAATCAGCTTTTCCGAATTCTTGTGAAACAGTAGAGGCCGCGTTATGTCTATATATCGCTTATAAAATGAAATAAGAATTAAACTGTAATAAAAAAAAAATTCAAAGAGCTTTTAGACATACCAAATAAAGGTATTTTTTGGTTATTTAAATAAATTAAACAAACACAAGATTTATGGAACAAACCATTGCTACTTTCGACAAAGTATAAATCATCATGTTACAAGGGAAATAGCATTAACGTTCTTCAACATAAGGCTCAATTCAAACTGTTGACTTTGCAGTACTCGTATATACATCTTGCCTCTGATAAGTCCGCCTGTTTCCTTGTCATATTTATGATTTAATATAATTTTTCTTGGCAATGTTATCGCATAAGAAATTGTGTCGGTACGACGGTTAAAGCTACACTTTTTTACTTTTGAAAAATGATTTTATACTTATGAAAACGTTATTCATACTTTCGGCTTTTTATCATTTGCCAAAAATCGCAATATAAATGTATTGAAAAATAAAAAAAAGTTAGAAATCCTGATGTTGTGGATAATGTTACAGTTTTATCTGGATTAACAAGGGTTTTTTTATATTTTTTGATATGAAGTTAAGCAGTAGTTAAACATCAAGATCTTTCGAATCCTGGGGCGTTATTGTCTATCGCAAACCCTTTCAATTTGACATTTAAAAAACTTTAAGTTTTTGACTGAGATTTTTTGAAGAGAAGAAGTTTTTGACTTGTGATAAGTTAAATTCGATTTTTATTGAAAGATTTAGAATTAACAATATGATTAATTGAAAATCAAACGAACTTACCTAAGTGAAGTTCGATGACAATTATGCAAGCAGCTTCATTCGACGCGATTTATTATTTACATATTGTAGTAGTGCTACCTAGCATCAGCCTTGCACGGATGTTTAGAGGTTTTT